GTAAATTAAAAAAAAAAACTTTTACCCTTTAGCTTTTATATAAATACAACATATTAACCTATTTTTTACACCTTTCTCGCCTTCTCTCTATATTCTATAAAATTTATACTTTCGTAACCAAAAATATAATCAAAACTCAAACACCCCTCAATCAAACCCAAACACAACCTTGTCTCTCAGATTTGCCGGTTACGGAAATTATTTCAACATTTTATCTTCTCAAGGATCACCACAAATCTCATACCAAGGAGCATCTTTCAATCCCGCTGTACCATCGCTGCAATTTCCTAATTCATCTAACCTCCAACAAAATCCATTTGGCCAATACCCAAATTTGCAACAAAATATTTTCTCGACTTTCTCTTCAATGCAACAACCAATCACTCAACCATCACCGCCAACACAACCATCGGTTGAAACACAAACGGGAGGTAGTAGGAGAGGGAAAGGAAAAGCGAAAGGAAGAGGGAAAGGGAAAACTATAGCGGTTAAAACGGAAAGTGAGGAAGTTTTACAATGGTGGATACCAGAGGAGGAATATGCTCTGATGGCAGCATGGTGTACTACTTCAAAAGACGAACTCCACGGTAATGGTATGATGAAAAGTGCATATTGGTGGGCGGTGCTCAAAAAATTCAACGCTATTTTGAAGAAAAAACCGTATTGCAATACGGACATGCTAAATAGTAAATGGAGTCAAATAACTAAGCGGTGCACAAAATTCAATGGTATTTACACTAGACTTCAGGCGCAACAACAGAGTGGAGCAAACGACTTTGATTTTTTCAAATCTGCAAAAGAACAATATCATGTTGAAATGGGACATGTGTTCGAGTTCGAGAAGTTGTGAGAGTTGCTGCAAGTGGATCCAAGGTGGAATAAAACTTCTACATCGTCGGAAGTTAAATCAAAAAGGTCTCGAAATTCGAGCTCGGTCGACGTGTCAGACGTACGGACTCACATTGACCTAAACGCTGACACCAATGATATATCGGATGATATCGAGGAGATCTCCCCACGACGACGACCGCCATGAGGCGACAAAGCGAGGCACGTTGCAAAGGCATACGGAGGAGGTTGAGGCGAAAACAAAAGATGTGGCGGAAATGAAAGTGAAAATCGATGAGCACAATTTATTACAAAAAAAAAAAGAGTTGAAACGTCGCCACTTGGAGTTTTTAGAAAGGCATGCACGGGAGAAGCAAGAGCAATAAAAGAGAGAACTAATGACACAACAGTTGTATATTTTTCGAACTAGCGATGAAGGTTTGTCATCTCAAGATCTAGCAGTGGTACAAACGATGAATGATCAAACTAGTAAAAAATATTTGGGTTAATTAAGATTAGTAGTAAAATATTATGATTTTATGTTTAATTTAGATGCTATTTGGGTTAATTAGGAAGAGGAAAAAATGTTATCTTTAAAATCAATGGTTTTTTATTATAATCTTAATTTTAGTTTCTAAAATTTGTTTCTTTTTTATTTTTTTAAATATTATGTTTTATAAAAATATATTTGTTTAATTAATTAATAAAAACACAAAAAAGAAAAAAAAACAAACTGAAAAAAAAATATATATATAAAAATATGACATGGAAAATATTAATGTTATAACATGAAAACTATTTTTTTGTTTGGTGTTATAACACCATTGTTTATGCTTATGTGACATATCAGGTGACATCAAATTTGTATTATGCTCACATCTAATAGTCTAAAAAAAAGTTATATTGCCGAAGATAAAAAGTAATAACAGTGTTTTTCTGATTTGATATCCCTAACTGTGACATTCGTTTTTGATTCTAAACGTTGTTTTTATGTTTTATTTTCGCATTGCGAAATGGGCCTTAGAAATAGATTTTATAGTGGTTACAATTTCTCGGTAGATCTCTAAGGGTGCGTTTAGTTGGTAGGAAAGGAATGAAATTTGAGGGAAAAAAATTTCAATTCCTTCGAATTCATGCGTTTGGTTGGACTTTGAGAGGAGAAAAGGATTCCTAAATGAAATAAACTTTCCACCATATGGAGGAAAGTGAGTTCCATCCAAAAGTTGGATGGAAAACATTCTTTTTCATCAAGGAAAGTGGCAGATTACAAAAATACCTCGTGTACTTATCAGAAAACCCACCACCACTATCACTAACCACCACCATTGACGCCCCACCGACCACCAGCACCAGCACCACCATTGCCGCCACAACCAATACCACCGTTGTTGCTGCCACCGCCGCCACAACCACCGACCACCATTACCACCGCCATGACCACCACTCACAACCACCGTTGCCGCCGCCACTGCCTGCGACGCCACCACCAACTACCATTATCGCCGTTACCACCGTTGCCACCGCAACCGACCACCACCACCCACCACTACCACCGTCGCCATTGTTGCCACCACCTCCACGACCATTATCCACCACAACTACTAATATCATTACCCACCACCACCGCCGCTGCCACCACCACCACTAATAACATTACCACCACCGTCGAAATTTTACTGTTTTTATAATTTTCATAATGTAATTTTACATATAAGTTAGAAAACAATGTAACATTAAGCAAAACAAGTAAAAGGGTAATCATGTCATTTTACATGAATTCCAATTTCATTTCCTGCGAACTAAACAAATTCTGGAATTAATTCAAATTCTATTTCCTACCAACCAAATAGCATATGAAATTGGATTCAAATTTCTGACAGATTCATTTTGCAATTCCAATTCAAATTCCTTCGGTAACATTCTGCGAACCAAACAACACCTAAAAAATGGTATGCCTATTGCAAAATGCTTTAGTGTAACACCATGTTATTTTTCTCTAAATAATATCGTTTTTTCTTTTACATTCCCCGATGTAAAACGAGCTCTTAAAAATAAGCAATGGCCGCATCATTTCTCATTTAGAATTCTAAATAACAATTTTGTTATTACACTAGATGGAAAATACCATCATCCGTAATACAAGACGTGAAGATTACTTGTACATCTAATGTGGAACTTGGTTGAGAGAAATGCAAATTCAAGATCAATAAAGAAGATAATATAACATGATTCAATAAAATGAAACACACAAACTATACCGTATGGAAAATTGTTTTCTTTTTTTATTAAATTTCAATGGATATAAACTCAAATCGGGGGACAAAACACAACATACCCGATAAAAATCAAATGCAGTAAATCATAAAAAAATAAATTTATGTTGATTACTTGATCGTACTAATAGTTAAATATAAAAAAATATGTACCATAAAGCAATAATACTTAATTGTACTTACTTTATGTGTTTCAAAATTGATATATATTTCTTGAAAACTAAATAAAGTAAAAGAAAATTCTTAACTAAAATCATAAACACCAACATAAACAATTAAAAAAAAAAAAAAAATACAAAAATAACCATTTACACTAGTGACATTACAAAAATAGCCAAAAAAATCAAAATTACAAAATTAGCCAACGATTTCACAGATGGAGATGCCTCATCTGTGAAATGAGCATTTCATCTGCGAATGTACAAGCACCTAAAGCACAGCTGTGTTTTAGGTGCTTGTACATTCACAGGTGCTTTTAATTTTTTTTTTTTTTAATTTTTTTCTGTATATATAGGGGTAAAATCGCAGATGGAATAGGTCCATCTGCGATTTACTCTCACTTTATCTGTGAAATTGTGGTTTTTTTTTGTGTATATATATTTTTTTAGTTTGACTACAAAATGAATTGGTTTGACTGAGAAAGTAAAACAATCTACAAAACTTTTTATATAGCAACATGATTTCGTAGTCAAACCAATTCATTTCATAGTCAAACTAAAAATTAAAAAAAAATACAAAAAAACCACAATTTCGCAGATAGAGTGAGAGTAAATCGCAGATGGACCTATTCCATCTGCGATTTTACCCCTATATATACAGAAAAAAATTAAAAAAAAAAATTAAAAGCACTTGCGAATGTACAAGCACCTAAAGCACAGCTGTGCTTTAGGTGCTTGTACATTCGCAGATGAGGTGCTCATTTCGCAGATGGGGCATCTTCATCTGTGAAATCGTTGGTTAATTTTGTAATTTCGATTTTTTTTTTGGCTATTTTTGTAATGCCATTAGTGTAAATGGCTATTTTTGTCATTTTCTCTTAAAAAAACCTAATGTGGCAAATGGGAAGAAACTCCGGACACAACCTTCGATAAGTAATTAATTAAAAAGATAATTTTAATCATCTACCAAAAAGAAAGAAATATAAATATTACGTGTGAGAGTCTTAAAAGCAAAAGCAAAAGAAACTAACCCCCATATCAAGATGCCCCAAATCAAGACGGAAAGTGCGCAGCGGTGGCCAGTGGTTGTGGATGAGGCACGACGACAACTAAGGTGAGAGCCGGCAGTGTCGATGTTATCCGATGAAAGGCAATGCTTCTTCAGATATCTCACTTTATTAAATTTTCACTTTGTGAAGTTGTTTACATCGTTTGATATTTTAATTTTTCCTTTTTCTATTGTCTGCAACCTCTTTCTCTTCTATTTTAACTCCTATTTTATCTCATTGATTCTAACAGATCACTATATTACATAAGATTTTCTTTAATTTTCTCACTTTTATGAGGGTGAATACATATATCTAATCTTAAATGACATATTATTCTGAACATGTATTTGGTCTCTTAATCCCTATTGATTACATTGCCTTAAAAACTTTGTTGCCTATTTTCAAAATCATGGGAGGGGACTTTATTCTCAAATAACTTGTTATCTTAATTTTTTTGGTTTGGTAATAATAGTCTTAAAACCAAGGGGGCCATGACCCCTCTTGGCCCCTAAAGACATCCGCCACTGATTGTATACTAATGGTTAATCCATTAAATGACTAACAAGACACTCACTTTATTTTGACTATTCTTATTAACCCATGCATTTGAAATGCTCTAACATGTCATATATATCTGTTAAAATCAATAGAAATACATCATAAATGTTTGTAAAATAAAGATTTAAAGAGAGTTACTTGAAGGAAGCACACATGTAAGAATTAGTACAAAGTCCCGTTGTACTCGTATAAGGAAACAAAGCCATGGGTCGATTCGGTGGCAACTTAGGAACCTCCGTCTCAAAACAAACATACTCCACCACCTCCGCCATACTCGGCCGCCCCTTACTCTCCTTCAAGGTGCACAACAACCCGATGTCCACAACCCGAATTGCCTGATCCATGTTCAACACCGAACTCATCTTCTGATCCACCACTTTGTCCTTCTCATTCATCTCATGCATGTTCCAAGCCCATTCCAACAGATCCAAGTCTGACCTTTCATATTTAGATTCAGATTGTGACATGTCAGAATCAGATATGTACCTCTTTCTGCCAGCCACAACCTCCAACACAAACACCCCAAATGCAAAAACATCTGTCGGCAGACTCACTGTCTCCTCGAACCGACTAGATTCTGTACCCGACATCACGAACCCGAAATCGCCAAGCAAGGCTCGGAAACTTACATCGATAAATACACTATTTGTATTAACATTTTTGTGAGCTAGTTTTTGTGAATGGAGGTAGCTCAATGCTTGTGCAACGTCACGCACCACCTTGAGTCGCCGGCTCCATGGCAAGATACCGATTCCATAAAGCCAATCATCGAAGGTCCCATTTTGCACACAGTCATACACCACCATGGTCTCTTGGTGGTCAAAGCACCACCCTCTAATTGCCACTAGATTAGGGTGACGTAACTTGCTCATTGCCTTTATCTCTTTACCCACGCGCCGCCGGTTAATCCCATGAGACTTAAAATACTCCACAGAGAACCGCTTCACCGCCACGTGGCACCCGTTCGATAAAGTACCCCTATATGTATCACTTCTTTCATCACTCGCCACCTTGTGTAAATCGTCGAAACACCGAGTCGCCGATGAAACCTCCGTAATAGTAAACCGCCGTGGTTTGTTAGGAGGGCGAGGGCGTTCTTTCACCGCCAGCAGCATGGCCAACTCCCCGCTCTTTCGCTTCCGGTTGTAGTATAAACTCACCAAAGCTACAACTACAAGGAAAACCACTGTCATGAAAATAAAGAAACCGTTCAGATTGTTTCTCCCACCGCCGTTGCCATTGTCGACTGTGATTTTGCTTTCGCAGGTTTCCGGCGAGGGTACGCGAAGAGAAGCTTGACTACTTGAGGTAAAATTCCATGACAAGACGTTATGAATTTGAGTAAAGTTTCCTGTAGAAGCTGAGAATCCAACGAACATGTACTCTTTCAAGAAATCTGATATATCAACGCGGCCGGAAAACACGGGTTTTGAAGGATATCCAACGCTGTCGGAACCTAACCGGATGTCCAAGAAACGGTTTTGGCCATGGTAATGAACCCAAGCTCTGTGAATTTCACCATCCTTCAAGTTAATACCAAACTCCGATACATTAATGGTGATTGTCGAAACAATGGAACCCAAATTGATTCCCAGATGGTTGTCGTTAGGGTCACCAAATTGTACGTTTTCTATGGTGTCAAATTCGATCCCAACAGCTTTATATTGTTCATCACAAGCATCATTTAGCATGCCTAGCCATGGCCCAGGTCGTCCCACCGTGAACTCATCAGGTGTTATCATGAATGTAAAACCGCTTCCACCGTCACCGCCGCCACCATCTCCTCCACCAGAAGATACGTTTGTTGGTGTAGTTTCAATCTGAAACGCAAAAGTCGTTTGGAAGGAAGCTGGGGTTCGCGTTATGGGATCAAAAACACGAACAGGATAAGCATAAACAGCACGACCAACTAAGTGCTTCAGATCATCGACGCCGTCTTTCTGGGTGGTGTCCGGTATCTGAATCCGACCTTTTTTGTCCACGACGGAGCTCCCCAGCAGCATGAGATCATGAACAGTTCTCGGGGTATTGAAATCAGGGAAAAATAAGTGTTTTGTAACATTGATTACTATTCCGTCATGATCAGTTGATTCAGCATAGACGAATAAGAAGAAGATGATGAATGCTATCAAGTTCATAGTTGGAAGAAAGAGAGAGATATTAGAAGCCATTGGAGAAGAAGGAAGGTTTGATTTGGTTTGGATGATGTGATGGAACTTGTAACTAATATTTAAGTGAGTGTTTGTAAATGATAGAGATGTCCATTGTGATGAGGTTGTGGTGGTGGGTACATCGATGGAGGAGGATGTGGTTATTTTCGCTTCGGGTGATAAATAAGACAAAAAGATCGATCCAGTACTTCCCTTTTCTCCATAAACACGACAATTATTTGTGGACCACGTTTTAAATTAATATTCTATTCCATATGTTTTCTAGAGGGTTAAAAAGTTGCAACAAAAAATACAGGTAAAAAGAAAACAGGTCGCATGAGTTAGGTGCACAGTAGAATCGGGCCAGTCGGCTTTTCCGGCCCGATTTGGACCAAGTTGGGTTAATTTGTTTAACTGGGCCGGGCTTTAACCCATTTTCCCAGGCTTTATTGGATGGGCTGGGCAGCTTTTGTTGTTTTGTCTGAATTCTCTTGGAACTTGTTACAATTTCTTTGAAACTTTCGAAGTGGAGTTAACATTCAACGTTTAAGGGGCATTTTGGGAAGTTTGCAATTTCGAATGTTGATATTAAGCAGGTGGATTGTGAATTTATGATGTGTTTTTTTCATCCTTCATCCTACAATTATCTCTAAATTTTTTACTACGTATTTGCAGTCGTTTGTTTAGTATTTTCGTTAAAAACCTTTTCATATTGTCCTTTATAAAATGGTCATCGAAGGTTCATCAAGCTATGCTCAAACAAGTAACAAGATTCTTAACAAAAGACAACCAGACATGATATTTAACAAAATTTTGATTACGTACAAAAAGATGATGGCAAATTTGATACCTAAAAATTCCTTAATTTCCCTGTGTTTATTCAAACTAAACATGTAACATGTTACAAAACAAATTTGATAGTTTTCTTGAGTCATTTTACACTCAAATTAGGTCACCAAGTTAGATAAAAATCTCCACATAAAAGAAAATAAAAATTAGAAACTAATTTGTGATAGATTGTATTAAGAACCTCATCGCAAAACAAGATAAAACAAACCCCAACAAAATGCATAGAACAGAACATAGCAAGGCAGGATAGTATGATAGATCAAGTGTATGAAAATAGAATGAAAAAACCATTTTACTTGCATTATTCTATTTGTATTAAATTGACCAACAATTTATTATTATTATTATTAATATATCATTGACTATGTGCATATAATTGATGATGTGAAGTCTAGGTAGGTTGGGAACGAGTTATCGCTGTAAAAACATAGTTAATTATATAATACAACATAACAAGAAAATTGTTATTCAATTGGATACATTTAATTTAGTAATTTAAAGATCAAAAATAAAAATGTTATTCGTTGCTATTTTATAACATTTTTCCTTGACATTAAATTTTAGTAGTTTGAAGTTCATTTTTATTATTCTTGACTCTTGACTAAAATGTCTAGGAGTGGCCTTGGTTCTCCAAAGTCTAATACACATATATTACGAGAGGCTGACGAGAAAGTCCATGTAATATTTTAAAATTGTTCAACGGAATTCAATGCATGCATACGTAATATCGATTAATATATATCACCCACATTTAAACCGCGGTCGATATTGTCATATACGTGAACTTGACCATTTTGCCTTTGAAACTTCCAAGATCATCCCCTACACCTTCAATCACACATAAATAATCTGTTGCCCATTTCATATATTCCCCATACCCTCATCCACCCCTCACACACACACACAAAGAAAGTAAACTCAATGAATCCACAACCCCAAATTCAGAATTCGATAACTACCTCTTCTATGGATGCACAAGATCACAATCAAGATCTTCATCTTAATCTTGATAATGGCAACAATCTTGATCTTGATCTTGATGATGAGCACAACAATAACACCAACAATCTTGATCATGATCTTCATAATGACAACAATCTTGATCTTGATGATGAACACAACATTAACACCGACAATCTTGATCTTGATCATGAAACGGATGGTGATGATCTTGATGCAGATGACAATGACATGAACGGAGAAAACATGCAGAGTTATGAACAGAACCCTCTTTATTGTACGGATAACAATCCACCGGAGTCGTTTTCAATCTGCCAGGCGAAAGTGGCAGACTGGCTGGAGCACCACACATTCATCGAGCGCAAGGCGTCTGTGAAGTTCGCCGTCGTCACAAAAAACCAAGATTCAACTCAAACCCGGTCGACTCACCGATCAATGACGACTCTAAACCAACGACCAAAACTTTCCATAATTGGGTTCAGAAAAAAGCAGATCCATCAACCCGATGGGAAGTCCAAGCATAACGATAAACCGGAAAACATACGTTTGTTCAGGAACCGGTCTGAACCGGGGAGGGACTACTGTCTGCTGATAACTGAACCGGTTTCTCCTAAGGTTTCGTGTGTGGGTCGGGTCGGGTCAGTGAGGGTTCGAGGAAGGAAGGCTGGGGTTTGGAGGAGTGTCAAAGCTGCTTTCTCGAATCTTGTTCAGACGAATAGAGTGATGAAGATTATTGCTTGATACCGGTTCAAACCGCCGGAGTTTGTTGCTTGCCGGCCGAAGTTCAGGCGAGTGGTTGCCGGTGACATGTCACCGGATGGTGGGATACGATTAATCATACGATAGTATTTTGTTTTTTTCTTCTTTTTTTCTTTGTCATTTTTTGTCGTTTGGTTTATAGGTCAATTTACGTGTAATTATATAGTGTCCTACTTGTGATCTAGCTCGTAGTCCATGGCCTATATTCACACTGAAAGATACTCTGGTTTTGGACATTTTGTAACAATTATATATACATAAATAATTCATTATAACATCATGGTCTTGTTTGCCGACGGCTTATAAATGACAAGATAAGGGAAGATAGGTATGAATTGATGATAAGTTTTATTAATTTATTCGTGTTGTGTATAATAGTTGTTCCTATTTTTCTTATGTTTTGAATTTAGCGATTGTTTTAGAGATTACTGAAATGAATTAATGACTGTAATGGGAGTGGGTTATTATATACACAAAAAGAACATTTTAATTTTTTTTACTAAAAAATAATCACGAATCCTTGGAAATTAACAATATCACCTTTTCGACATTTAAGACTGCTAAGTTAGTTCATGTGTGTGCATGTCGTTTTATACTAGGGATGTCTCAACTATGCACCAGTCACGTACTTTTCTTAGGTGATGTGGATCTTCATAAAAACATGTAACGTGCAAGATAAAAGAAAGATTTTTTTTTATGCAAAAAACAAACAATGTTGACAACATTATGCAAAAAAAAAAAAATGAACATTTTGTTACAAACATACCATATGTTCATACAATTCACATCAATTTCCTGGACACTCCCTCAAAGATTCCATTTATCTAATACCATTGTTGTACCCTACCACTACTAGTGAAGGGATATGTTCGATTAGGGGGACGGAGTCATAACAAAAAAGTGAAGGTATCGTTGGTACCCCAAGACATTATTCTTTTAAACAACTGGTCAAACGGTTGGATGATATACGGGTTAAGCAAACCATTCAACCATTTAATTCATGTGCATTGATTACTTATACATTTTGTTTTAAGACTTGTATTAAAATTTGTATGTTTTTAAGTTAGTTTGTCAATTAGTATTGTATATTTTTTATTCGTTTATGCTTATTTTTTAAATTAAAAATTAAGTGGATTGAATTGATTGAGAAAAATAGGTTTTTCATATGTTATGGGTTATAAAAAATGAAAAAGAGATAGAGAGATATAATTAATATGAAGCTGATGAGGTAGTTGGCTAGGAGGAAGGAACTTCCGTCTTTAGAATTTATGGTTGGTTGGGAGGAAAGAATTTCGTATTTTGAGAATTTATGTAATACCAGAATAATTTTTGAAAACATATAGCCCACAATTATGGTTGATTTATGAAAAACCCTTTTGTGACGATAATTAAAAATTGAGTGGAATGTTAACATAAAAACGACAAAATAAAAAAAAATGCTCTTATATTATGCGGTATAAGTGAGATTAGTAACGTATAAGGTTATAAGGTTATATATCGTATGGCTAAGGAGAAAAAACGTGACAAAATAATAACATATGGATAGAAAAAATAAAGAAGCTATTAATTTGACCAAAACAAAAAAAAAACATTATTACTATAAAGATGCATATATACTTAATTCTATAATTGTCAATTAAATTGATTTTGGTCAGCATGATTGCCGAGTCTTTTTGGATGTAGTACTGAAAGGAAGCTTATACCAAATAATTTCAGAAGTTTGATTGATTAATTAATTCTTATAAATGATTGGAATGGTGCACATTGTTTCCAAAGAATGTTATTAAAAGATAGGAGTGTATAGCATGTATTATAAACATTAGAGTCGCAAACACATGTAGAAAAATTAATATTTCAACTAACTATATTATATATTATTAGAGGAATATTTCAACTTATTCATGCGGTAGTTTGGCATTACTTATTTTAAATATTTTTGTTATTTTAAGTGTTTTTGGTGATTTATGTTTGGTAGATTCTCTTTATATATCTAACTAAGCGTGAGATATGTGTATTACACGGACTGATTAAAAAAAGATTAAATATGAAATTGTAAACATTAATCATTTTTTAAAGTAATATTTTGAAATAATACAAACGAAATGATGAACAAGTAGGTAATTCAATCTATACAAATAAAAAACTATTGACATATCTTAAATAATTGTGATGCATATCAAGATGTAAATATTAAACATTTTTAAAGTAAAATTTTAAGATAAATACAAATGAAATGATGAATATGTAGGTAATTGAATCTATACCATTAAAAAAAAACTATTGACATGTATGTTTCTGTTTTCTTGGCTCAAGATATTGTTCGTCAATTATATTAAACTCAATTAATACATTGTCATAACCTCAAGAAAAATATGTCTTTGTTTTCTTTGCACAAGATATTGTAGATAACTCATATTGAACTCAATGAGTATACTCTTAGATAAATGATATTT